TCTCATGTCTCCAGTGTCTGAGAATCTGCTATTTGGGACGCAATATGAAATTGACTTGCTGGTCTGGTTTTAGTTCCTACTGGACCAGTGGCTGCATCATAATGACTGAAAAAAAAATATAGGTCTCAGGGGCTTGGATTAGAACAGGCTGCAGAGATTTCTGCAGCACCTGCCTCAGGTGGTATAACCAGCCTGTGGAACCATGGATGATTCAGTGTCTTTCAGTCCACATATATACACACACAGTGGAGTTAATGTTTAATTTTTTTTAAATTTTGCATTTCAGGTAAGCTGAAAGATCTTGGGAACTTGGTTCTTCGACCCTTTGGCCTGTCAACAGATAATTTTCAGATCAAACAGGATTCCTCAAGTGGCTCATACTCCATCAACTTTGTTCAAAATCCAAACAATAATAACAGATAATATGAGCTAAGCCTATTCCTATTAAAAAGCTGGCTTTCAAGATTTGTGACACCACGCTTGCAACTACCAATAAAAGGGCTCAGCAGTCATTTAACTTGTAAAATCATTTTATCCACATGAAAATAATTGGGGATATACATTTCCATGGATGTGAAATGTTTAAAATGTGGATGAAAAGCAAGTCATTTGATTTCCGTTTGCAGTGAAAGCTTTATCCCCCCCCCCCCCCCAAGTGTTTTGTTTGTCTTTCCTAATAAGAAAGTTGGTTACCCTGGCCCATTTACTCTCAGCAACATCAGTCTAGCAAGCAATTCAGTCAGATCAAAATGCTCACAAGCGTGTAACCCAAGTTGCAGGTGTGTCCAGGATGTCTTATGCTTTTAGTGAATCTATCAGAAATGTTTCTCTGCGCTCAGCCAGTAAGTGGCTTCCTGTCGGCTGTGACTGTGGAAGCAAGCTGCCTTTGTGGTATAATTTATCTTCATTGTAATAAAGGCTTCATGTTTCTGGTGGGCTGATTTGTGATTTTTGTCCTGTATTTTGACCTCTCAAGAGAGGTGACGTTCCAATGATGGCATTTTTAAATGAATATAAATATAGTCTACAAATAAGAAAGCAAAATTGCAAGAGACTGCTTTTTAAGAAATTGCAAGGCTTTTAATCTTAACGTTGTCTTGTTATAGACTTTTAATTTTGACTTGAATTTTTTTCTTGGGCATTCTGGAACCAGAAATTCTCTAGTTCATCTTGTTACTCTCAAGAGACTAGTTGTAAGCTATGTGCAAACTGCCTTAATATTTTTGGTGTGATACCCTACTTGACAGTAAAAGTTAAAATTCACCTGCCCAGATTCAGTACATGTTGTGGCTTTCACAAGGTATCTATTTAGGGCTAAGATAATGAGATGCAAATATCAGTGATATTAAAGTGATTGCAAAAAGTCTTCAAGTTGTATTGGAGTCTCTGAATCTAGGAAAGGTTTTATCTCTGCAGACGGACTATTCAAATGTTGTGGGGCTTGAATTGGAATTTTTTTGGAGGGGGAGCTAGCTTGTATTTAAGCATAATTGTCTCTCTTAACCCAGTTTTATAATAGTAAGGCCAGAACTAATTTACTACTGATTTGAAAATACCACTTAAAATATTAAATTAATAACTGAGTGATAGCTCCTTTAACTTGTTTCTAGAACTTGTTAGCAGCATACGTTTGACTTCAGCGTCATGTCACCATAGGTTACTTGCATATCTTGAGCCCTATTTCCAGTGACATGCAAGAAGGGGGAGACAGTCCCTCTGTTATGCTTATAAAACACACATGGGATCTTTTTAGGGGAAAAGGCAAGACACTACACTTATTAAGAATGCAATATCAAACCAGCTATCATATGCTTCATAAAGGCAAGTCCCCTGATGATGGTGCATAGTTACCAGTATGTCATGGCTCAAGTCCATCTTGCTGGCAAGACTGACTGAGTGAGGAGTTGAGGTTCCTCTGAGGCTTGGACTGAACCCAGATTGTAATGGCAAAAAATCCCCCCACTTTATACATGTAAGTTCCCATTGGAGTCTATGGGTAAATCTACGCAGCAGGGCAAAAGTCGAATTAAGATACGCAACTTTAGCTACGTCAATTGTGTAGCTTAAGTCGAAATAGCTTAATTTGGCTTTTGGCGCTGTCTACATAGCAGGAAGTTGAAGAAAGAACACTCTTCCTTCAGCTTTCCTTTCTTCTCATGAAATGAAGGTTACAGAAGTTGGAGTAAGAAGTCCTCTATCTTGACATATTTCAAAATAATGGCTTGCTTGCATTTTGTTGTTTTGAAATAACATCAGTTATTCTGAAATAATGCTACTGTGTAGACGCACCCTAAGGGTTTTGCAGTGTCATGCTGCAATCATTCATCCTTAAAAGATGTTAATTTGGGTTTTCCAGAGTTCTCCTTTGATGGCTATTTGTCAGTTTTTTCCATCATTATCTTATCTCTTGTTTATGTCTTGCTCTTGGGGTGGGGGTGGGGTCTGCCTGTCTCCAGGGTTCATCAGTTCTGCTAATTTATTCAGCCTTAGCCACAATGGGTGTTTCTTAGTTGTCTTCAAGGTTTCTTCTTCTTGATCACTTCCTTCACTTACCCCAAACAATTTACAGAGCATTCCAGATAAGGATCACAGTTACTAGAAGACACAATGTAATTTACGCAGACAGGGGCTACAACTTAATTTGTAATACTAACAGGAAGCAAGACCTTACAGTAAACAATATCTAATCATGAGATTCAGATGGGTAGCTGAGTTAGTCTGTAACAGGAAAAACTTTAAAAACAAATAGTGTAGTAGCATTTTAAAGACTAACAAAACATGTAGATAGTATCATGAGCTTTCAGGGGCACAGCCCACTTCAGATATCTAATCATAGGAGACAGGGTGAAATAGAAGCATATAGAACTTGTAGCCAGGGGTTGGCAACATATGGTTCGCAAGCCAAATATAGCTCTTCTGGAGCCCCAGCTCAGCCCTCCTTGCTCCCCTCCAGCAGGGAGCCAGTGCTGGCAGTACAGCCTTATGGCCCCCTGCAAAACTGGCCCCCTGGCCAGTCAGCCTACCCTCTGTCCAAAATCCCCCCGCCTCCTGGTCAGACACCCTTGCCCCCAGCCTCCTAGCCAGTCAGCCTACCCTCTGTCCAAAATCTCCTCTGTCCCCACCAGACACTCCACTCCTTCCTCCCTGACCCCCCTCCTGCTTGCTGGTCAGACCTTGCACCCTCACCCCCTCCTACACACCACCTCCCATCCAGTTTCTCTACTCTCATCCCTATCCCATTCACTGGGAGCCCTGTCCGGCACAATGTCTCATTTTTTTTGCTTCAACCCAGAGCCTGGGGAGCCCACAAAATCCACTAACCCTGAAACTCCAGAAGAGTAAATCTGGCCTGAGGCCTTGAACCTCAGTCCTCCCCCCCCCCCCCCCACCCCCACC